AAAATCACCGTTATAGTGTAGATAATCAGCGAGGTATCAGCAATTTTATGCTCTTATTATTCCCTAAAAATCCTTCCAAAATTGGTTTGGATCGTAACGTCAAACGATTCAGGTCTAGTTTAGAAGGATTTATATGGAGCCATCAGAGCATACATACCCCTACCAATTTGTACTGACAGGCTCAATTTAATTTGACAAGTGCAGATTTTCAGCTTGACTTTCTTTCTGGATATACCAACCTATTTCATAGTTTCTCTATAAATAGCGCTTGGTCGATTGTGAATGGAAAAATCGCCTCCCCTCTGCTTGTAAATAGCATCAATTTCTTGAAATGAATCTCCTAGATGGAGATTGAAGTGAAGGTCTAGAAGATGTTTTGTGTGTGTGGGTTTTAGTTTGACATTTTGTAAAAATAGAAAGATCACACAAAATAGTAACAATCAGATTATGTTGTTCTTACTCCCTTATTTGAATTTCGAACGTTAGAAATATTGAATCAGTGTAAAAATATTATGAATTTTTATTTGGGACTTGTTTGCAAGGCAAATAGTTATGTGCCGTGAAGTAGGTTGGGCAGATTATACTAGTTGAGTACCTTTTAAACAGAGATTGATTTCGGGTGAAATGAACTTTCTATCTTTTAAGATTATGATATAATATGTAGTGATATAATTATTTTAATGTGTTGTCGTTATACAACAATATGCCGAAGAAATTAAATCGAATAGTTTGTATCATATTTGGATTTTTAAACTGCACTGAGCTAAAGGGGAATTACAAAATAAATGTGTTTACGTTATTGTGCTTCCATAAACTTATAATGTATAGCTTAATTACGTTCGAGGTACGAGAAGGCAACCCCTAATTTTTGTTGTTACATTTTATAACTTCTTGCCGCCACTACGACATTCTAGCTAAAACTCGTAGTAGAATTGCGACGGCTATCACGTTTTCCCGCCAAAATGACGCTGGTTTACGCGCGAGAAATATTCAGAATTGAGAAAATCTCGTACTCGTAGTCGTCCTCGTCTCAGAAAAAAGCTCTCTATTCATACTTTTTTTGTGAATGGCTGAGAGCAAATGAATTATGCTTTTCTTGCTACAATAATTTAATGTCGCCTAATTACTTGAACTGTTTATTATAATTATTAATTATGAATAAGCGCGTTTAGCTTAAGATCAGAATTCTGCATGTATAGGTGATTTTCATGCGGTCTCGGAGACACAAATAACAATGGTGAAATGAACAAATGCTGGTGGACAAACAAAACGAGCTAATGAGCAATCTTTTGTTTACCGTCCATCAGCATGGCGGCGATGACGTAATGTGAAAACCACCTATACATCAATATTGCATACTACAGTTGGTGGGATTTCAACATGAGTGGGAAAATACCATTCTAAAACTTTTTCGATAAATAATGATAAACAGGCTCTCGAAGCTGTTTAATATAAGGATGATTGTTTTTAAGAGCTCTTATCGCTTCACTTTTAGTTTATTGGGTACTTCTTCTGCAACAAATGTCAGGCAAAAGGGATGCGTTTGAGTGTGGTGTCAACTACACACTCTCTAAAATAATCTTATCACGGTGGGCACATAGGACGCAAAAACTTTTGCATTTTTTATTCGTTTGAGCTCAAACTAAGCAGGATGGCAGAAAAACTTTGTATTCTTAAAAATCCTGTGTTTTTTGTTTTTCAGTTTTAACGGTTTTTGGAAGGAAAATGACGTCACAACTGATAGCAAAATTGAATTTCTATGTTAGTTGTGAGATGATTTTTTGCAAATATTAATCCGTTCGTTTTCTGATCTTAATTGTGATTGTCACTGTGCGTCGATACTGCAGGGGCACTATACCAGGCTTAAATAAGCAAAAAAAATAAAATAAATGAATAATTAAACAACTGTTCGAAAGAGCAAATATGGCGTAATTGCCCAGAAAATTCTAAAGCTCGAGAAAGTAAATTTCTGAAAAAAAAAACTGTCCAATTCTACTAAGCTTCCTGAGATTTTGAGGTTTGTTTCATTTCGTTTTTTATTTAATTTGATCGCCAAGATATTGCTAGCTATTATTGTTAAAAAGAGTTTCCTGAGATTTCGATAGTTTGACACGTGAAATTATGAATTAACGCTGAAATGTGGCAACAAAATTAAGGAGTAATTTTTCACTCATGATATTAGAAGCCAAATAAGGTCTGCAAGGTTTCTGGCGTTAAAATATAAGCGCGCGCACAGAAGTTTCTTTGATGTCAACAATCAGTCATAAAAGTCCACTGTAACATAACAGTTTAAACTGACGATGGGGCGCCAAGTTTCTTCAGCGAGAAACCGTCCTTTTACTGTCAAGATTATTCTACCCTTCGATGAAACAGTGAAAATAGCTGATGTTGTTACCTCGATGAGCATTTTGGCCTTAAAAGATCGCGTGGAGCTTGTTACAGGAATCCCAAGGTACGGTTTTCGCAAATATAAGGTAAATACTATACAAAAAGGAAGTTAATGTTTCAAGCGATTCGGACTTCACCAGCAGAATTAGCAACATTGGTATTCGTTGTTATTTGCCATTGTAAGTCTGTATCGTCCGCATAAGGACGAATGGATTGGCTCAGTTTAAAGGAAGATTTAGCAAAACGTTTTAATCAGAGAGAAGGCCTACCCTCAGGTGACTGACGATTAAAGTTAGGATAGCCCTGGTTGGCAATAATTCGTATGTTCCAGTTTCTTTAAAATAAAATTTAAAAAAAGAAAAAAGAATTAAAAACAAACAAACCAATACCCAGTGTTAGCGTCTAGAGAGAAATGATAACAGTTTATATCTCCGTTGTTCACGACCTGGCTTAAATTACTATTTGGGACCTTAAGATCCGACGACGGCGACGGGAACGGGAACGCCACAAAAGCAATAGGTTTAGTTAGCAAAACAACAATTTTGCACGTGCATCACGCTTTTTTGTACATTTCTGTGCCGTCACTGGACGACTACGACGTGAAAATGCCTAATTTCACGGTGTACAGAGGAAGCACACAAGCGACTACGAAATTTCCTCTCTCTTTCTGAACTTGAATATGGTTCTTAGGAATTCAACTTTAGGAGGGTTCGCCTACATTTGACAAAGTTAGTGACTTGGAGTAATCGCGATGCCGATTGAAAGAACGCGAATTCACTTTTCCAGCGACGTTTTCCCTGCCGTCGTCGTCCTCGGATCTTAAGGTCCCTATTAACTCTAGCTCCCTTGGGGGAGGTGGTGCGAGTTTCGAGACAAACACCTTTAGCCGGCCTGGTAGAGTTATCAAAATCACTTTAGGCGAAGAGTGAGAATCACCGCCACCTTCAGTGAAGTCGCAATGTTATGCGCAGTGCAAAAAGGGGATTACGTTCATATACACTATTGCAATAACATTGTAATACAAAAAATAAGACTAAAACAACAACAACAAAATAAGAACACAGGAAAAACAAAACAACAACAAGATTTTATTATCTCTTGTCAAGAGAGAATGATCTTGTCTATATATGTCTCGTTTTCATTCCATCTATACCACGGGGGCAGTTTTAATGAAAAGTGTATTTTGCTCTGACCAGCGTAACTGCAGTTAGACATAAGTTTTGCATTAATTAAGAAATTTGTTTACGTAATAAGAGGATTTGTTTATACATATAGCAGAGCGAAAGAATATTTTAATTATTTTCAACTTTGGTTGGAAACTTGGACAGAAATGACTCCTCAAAATACCCACAACAAATAAAATATGTAACCTCTTCTTTTCTTTTTTTTCTTTCCTTTATCTTTGCCGAGTCACATAAATCTTAATTTTTCATTCGTTTCATTTTTTTTAAAGACACCTACAGCGCCTTACGTACTTTGATGATCTTGATATGGAAGACAACAGGAGATTATCCTTCTTTCACGTAGTACCTAATTCCACATTCAGAATGAAGTTTTGGCCACAGTGGATATCTTTAATTCAAGCTTCATATCATGGTGACCTCAAAGGTATGTATTACAGTCGAATAATAGGTACAATCCTCTTCAACACCGAAGTATACTATTCAGAGATCAATGAAATAGATTCTGTCGCGGTGCATGTTCGTAACAGGCCTACTGTTTTTTTCTCTTTCTTCCAGTCCGGATTCTTGACCTCTTAAGCCATTTGCTTAAGGTATTTAGCCTTTGTGCTATTGTATCAAAGAGATTAAACAGAGATCCTTACAAATTTATTTTCATTATCTTGTTCACTATCATTATCATCATAATCATCATCATCATCACGATCATCATCATCATCATTATTATTATTATTATTATTATTATTATTATTATTATTTATTTCTAGTTAAAAGACTAAAGTTATCAGGAATTTTCGGCATTCTTTTAACCCCTAGTTAAAGGAAATCGCTTAAATCGCAACGGATCAGGGAAATAACCGCACAAGAAGCAAAAACAATTAAGCAAAGTAAAATAGGCGAGTTCCTGGCAAATTGTATTTTATTGAAAATTCTAGCGAGTATCTTTTGAATATATTACCTTTTTCATGAATTCTCATCAAATCCTTTATCTTCACGGCCAATTTCAGGATCATGCAATAAGACACAACACGTATTCTCATACTGAGCTTGGGCCATCTGTGCTCCATGCAACCTGATTGGCATAAAGACGTAATTTAACGTCGTTAAGACGTCGTCTCATTGAATTTATTGGGAGAGTCAATTTTGTCAACATTCTCCTGAAGTAGCCATGCATAAAAAGAGAAATTCTCAGAAATAGTCAGTGTCATGATGACGTCGTTGTTGTTAAGTAGAAACTGGATTCATCGGCCATCTTGGATCTGCCATCTGAAAAATTTTATCGGTGTATATAGGATGCCAAAAGAACATAAAGAAAGAAAAACTGCTAGTTATAAAATTCCGAGAGAAATGAACACTGTTGAAAATTTGACTCAGCAGTTGCTATTTGGTCATTTTGTTGTTGATGTTGTTCTTGTTGTTTTTTTGTTTTGTTTTTACCTTGCTTTATGTTTCTGCTTGTTTATTTGTTTGGTTGGTTTGTTGTTGTTGTTTTTTTAATCCTCAAATTGGTCACTAGAAAGCCAAGGTAAAGTGTCAGCGGTTGACACCAACCGAGCGGTAGATACGTGGTGTCACCATCAGCAAAAAAAAATGGCGGGCGCATGTAACGTTTTTATGAATACAGTTCGAGGTGCTCTAGCTACCGCTGAAGCGGAGCTGGTGGACGATGGAATTGACAAAAAGAAAGTGCAAAGTGCCTTGGAGGAGGTTAGGTCTTTGCTTCGGCCAATTTCGTTTCGTCATTTTGAGAGG